AATTATATTTATTTATTTATTAATGTGGACAATTGTTTTATTTATTTATTTTTTAATGTTTCTTTATCTTTATTGTTGAGACCATTACAGATGTTCCCTTTTTAACCCCACTGATCCCCTCCACCCCACATCCATCTCACCCCCAGGCCCCTGGTTCTTGGCACACAGGTCTTAAAACCTTTGTAGTTTCCTGAGTGATAACAGCAGTAGGAGCAAATTTGTTCTAAAATTTGACCTCAGGCCCAGCTGGATGTGGTTGAGTGTCGACCTAGGATCCAGGAGATCATGGTTCAATTCCAGGACAGGGCACATGCCCAGGTTGCGGGCTCGATCCCCAGTCGGGGGCATGCAGGAGGCAGCCGATCAATGACTCTCTCATCATTCATGTTTCTGTCTCTCTCTCTCTCTCTCCCTCTCCCTTCCTCTCTCTGAAATCAATAAAGATATATTTAAAATAAAATAAAATAAAATAAAATAAAATAAAATAAAATAAAATAAAATAAAATAAAATAAAATAAAATAAAATTTAACCTCAGTTCCTGATACAAAAGTTCTTAAATAACTTGGAATTTCCTAAGTGTGGTAATGTGCTATGTTCTAATGAGGTGACTCTTGGTGGGCTCCTGGGTAGGGGCTGGTCACCAGAGAGACCAAGCCATAATTAGAGACTTGGAACTGTTGACCTTAAACAAAAAGTCCCCAAGATATTCCTCCAACAAAAGGGGTTTACTCTGGGAAGAAGAGGGAATTGCCATCCAATAAACCTTGGCAAGTTCACCAGCACAAATAAAGAGGAAGTTCTTTTACAGACAGGAAAAGGAAGTTAGGAGGGCTGTGATAACCAGAGTTCTTCCCATTCAGCTTCTCCAGTGACGGGGCATGAGAGTGCTCCCTACAGGCCCTCTGGATTCCAATCTGATTGAACTATTAATTTTTGTACAGAACTTTCAGCCCCATTGCCTATTCTCCAGAAAGGGAAGAGGGACTGGAAATTGAGTTGATGATCAATCATGCCTAAGTGATGAAACCTCCATAAAAATCCCTAAGGGATAAAGTTCATGAGCTTCAGAGTTGGTGAGCACATGGAAGTGCTGAGAGAGTAGCTTGCTCTGAGCAAATGTGGAAGCTCCCTGCCCCTTCCCACATACCTTGTCCTATGTAACTCTTCCATCTGAATGTTCATCTGTATCCTTTATCATATCTTTCATAATAAGCCAGTAAACATAACTGTTTCCCTGAGTTCTGTGAGCCATTCTAGCAAGTTAGTGAACCCAAGGAGGGGCTTATGGGAACTCCAGTCAGTCAGAAGTACAGGTAACAAGATTAGCATCTGAAGTGTGTGGGGAAGGGAGGGAGGGAGGTAGTGTCAGAATTGAGTGAAATTGTCACAGAGAATTGCTTAGTGTAGGAAAAAAACACCCCACACATCTGGTGTCAGAAGTGTTGTGTGGTAAGTAGTGTGAGAGTAAAAGAGAAACACAGAGGAAGATTGAATTTTTCCTAAACAGCTTGTAAATGTAATAATTTAATTAGTTAAGCTTGTAAAGTGTGTTTACTAAAAGAAACTGCATTTGTTCTAATAAAGTATTTAGTAGAAATTGAGTATTAGCTGTAAACAATCTTACTAGCCTTGTGACATGTAACCTACCACACTGTATATAAATGAATTCACAAACCTTGTGTTCAATTAACATATCCCCATACATACTACATGAAATCTGACTGGCTCTCTACTACAGATGGGGAAAAAATAAAAATGTGATCCCTGATTCATCTAAGCAGAGTGTGTGTTCTCATTTTTCCATAGGTGGGGGAAAGGATTGGAGTGGGGTGGGGGCGGGGGCTGAGAAGCAGAAAAATGCTAAGAGAAGTAAACAGAGAAGATATATGAGACAGTAAAGCCCTCTGTGAAAGCAGAGTCCAGAATGGTAGCCTGTGGTCTATGATCAATCAGGTACCATCAGCCTGAACTTTGGAAATCTACAGAGAAGCAAGCCTTTCCTCCAGAAGTAGAGAAGTAGAGACCTTTCTGGTCATATGCATAGAGGATGCCAAACCAGCTGGGAAACTGACTTAAAAGACAAAAAGACATGATTTAGACCCTGGCCAGATTGCTCAGCTGCTTAGAGTGACATGCCGATATGCCAAGATCGTCGGTTTTATCCCTGGTCAGGGCACATATAAGAATCAACCAATGGCCCTGGTGCGGCTCAGTGGTTTGAGCATTGGCCCTCTAACTAAAGGGTCAAGGGTTCAATTCCCGGTCAAAGGCCCACACCTGAGTTGCAGTTTCAATCCCCTATCGATGTTTCTTTCTTTCTCTCTGTTTCTCCCTTTCACTCTATCTAAATTCAATGGGAAAATATCCTCAGGTGAGGATTAACAAAACAACAACAAAAGAATCAACCAATGAATGCATAGATAGGTGGAACAACAAATTGATGTTTCTCTCTCTCTCCTCCCCTCACCCCCTAAAAAGTCAATAAAAAAAAGAAATGATTTAGCTTCAGACTGATGGAAGGTAAAATTTATAATAACTATATAATTATCAGCTGGTTTATATTTTCTTCTTTAAGAAACCATTACAACTTTAATAACATGGGAGGTTTATACTCATGACTTCTGTGTCTGACTACTGAAGTAGGAGTACAGCAAAAATAAATTGGGGAGTCCTTGAGTAACAGCACCAGAGGAGACAGAAGAAGCCAATTTACATTATAAGTAAGCAGCTACCTTACCTAAGGAAAAGGAGTCATTCCGTGCTCCAACCGGTTCATTAGAATTCTCCGCTGGGATTGGGAGCCAAGGCCCAGGTCATTAACAGAGCATTATTGACATTGTTGTATTCTCTAGGGCTTTATTTCCCTCCAGAAATCCAGGGAGTGGCATCTTGTTGAAGGCAGATTATGGTCTCTGCATTTCATATTCCAATCATATATTCATCTAGAAATGTAAGCACCCTCTTTTGACATGACATACATGCAAAAACGTACATTGAAATATGATTTAAATTATATATGAGGTATTTAATGACACATAAGGGGAAAATGATACATAAAAAGGAAAATATATAGCACATAACAACCATTAAGATTGTTTACAGAAAAAATCATCAATAGCATGAGAGAAATACTTATAATGTTAAGTGAAAAAATGTAGATACAGTGTTGTATAATTGGCTAATTGAATAAAGTGTGTTATTTTAATTTAATAACATGTGATCTTTACTTTCTTGAGGGTGGATAAAGAAACTAGAAGGGAGTACATAAGAATACTGGCAGTGGTTTTCTCGGAGTGTTGCAATTACGGGTGACGGAGTTTGGTGAGAATTTTTTTATGCATTTCTGTACTCTTTAAGTGTGCACGTGTTTTATTTATGATAACATAAATACTTCTTAAATGTCTGCAACTCTTGAAAAGTAGTGTTTCAGTATAAATAAGCTGCTAATTATTTTAAGAATTCACCTAACTTTAATATAAGGGATAAATCTGGAGGGCCACCATCTGTAAAAGAAATGAGATATGTTCTGTGTAAGTGTGGGTAGAACAGTGATCAGCAGGCAATAGACATAAAAGAATAGATTTCAACTCAGTGTAAGCAAGAGTTTTCTGATAATTAGAGCTGTCCCACAATAGAATAGGTTCTCTCAAGATGCTGTGTGCTGGAAGTGGTCAAGCAGAGGCTAGAGGGCTTTTTGCCCTAGGAGTGGAAGACAGTGAAGGGGTAAAGATGAGGGGTCAATGAGACTCGATGATCTCTAGTATCCTTTTCACTGCTAACATTTTATCAATTTATCACTGATTCACTTATTCATCTGACCTCCCAGATGGTCCCTTAAATAAGGCATGACCCTTGCCTACCGGTGTTCATGCCTTATTTAATTCCCTCCCACACCGAATGAGCTGATTCATGTAACCAACAGAATATTGTAGAGAGGGTGGAGTGTGACTTCAGAAGCTAGGTCACAGGAGACATTGTGGCTTCTGCCTTCTCCCTCCGGAACTGCTCACTGTGGAGTGAGCCAGCTGCCATGTCATGAGGACACTAAAGCAGCCTGCGGAGAGACCCATGTGGAGAGGAACTGAGGAGTCCTGCCAACAACCAGCAAACACTTGCCAGCTATTGGAGTGCTTCCCCTCGGAAGCAGATCTCCCAGCCCCAGCGAAGGCTTCAGATGACTGCCTCCCCTGCCGACACCTTCACTGCAGCTTCATGATAAACCTTAAGTAAGAACAACTTGACTAAGCCGCGCCTGAATTCCTTACCCACAAGGCTACCAAGTTTGGCAGTAGTTTGTTATGTAGTTAGATATCAATATAACACATCTTTACCTGATTTGTTCCACAACAAGCATGACATAATATTCTTTGATTCAGTCATTCTATTGCTAATAAGTGTTCATTAGGAGGCAAAATCCCCAGCTGTTACAGATGCACAATAGCAGCCTATTCATTTAATAGTATGGTTTAGCTCAACACAGTTTGATGTCTTAACATATTCCAATAAGAACAATGATAACTTGGCTTTAGAATGATTCATTTCATTTCCAATAGAAAAAGAGAAAGGTGCTCTTTGTTCTCCTATGGATTTGGTATCAAGAGTTGTAGCTATATATGCATATATACACAACCCAAGGACATGGACAATGGGGGGGAGAGGGGCTGGGGAGGGGGAAGGAACGGGGTGGAATGGGTCATTGGGGAGAAAAAGGGACATCTGTAATATTTTAAACAATAATAAAATTAAAAAAAAAAAAGTTGTAACTATAATTGTGTCACTTATATTTCTCAGCTCCCACTCATCAATATGCTCAAAAAAAAAGTAGGCTAGAAATTGCAATAAAGCATTTTAAAAGGCTTTTTTCAGCATTATAGTAACTAAGATGGAGATTTTTTTAAAAATCTGTGTAAGCAAGACAAAGGCAAAGGCAAAAACTTTCTAAATTGTTCTTATAAATAGATGACTAAATCACCTCTGAGATTTTTTTAAATCCTCTCTTTTAACATCTGAAAGTTATGAGATATTCTGGGTAAGCTTGATTATCAAAGAATACCACAAATATACTTGGATGCTGTATATCGTCTGTGACAGAGTCAAACAGATCTGTGGAATTGTAAGGGTTCTTTGATGGAGGGGTAATTAATCCTTCATGCCCAAGTGTGTAGACTCCTGTAAGTACTCGTACAACATAAATGTGCTTCCTCCCATTGCTGTCTGGTCTGGAGTATTTATCATCAGCAGAATAGCTGGCATCAACAGCAAAATAGGTTCCTTTTCCATAGGCTACAGCTGTAAAGAGAAATTCAAAACCCTTCATAAGAACATAAAACTATCACAGTATGGAGAACCATGCCCAAACCTGACAATTAAAACTTCCATGCAGTTCTTGGTCACTAAAGCCACTCTTCATTATTTCTAAAATTCACCCCATCTGCCCTCAGAAGGTTGCCAGTCTCCTTTTGGGTGAAACAGAATGAGCTGTACCCTGACAATGGCAGCAAGGCTGCCACCTACGGCTGCGCTGCTCGGGATGAACATTCGACACCAGCCCTTCGTTCGCCTCCCTCCACCGGCCAGACGACAGCTTGCTCACCGTTCCTCCCGGCGTAGCTGCGGTTGAAGCCGAGCCGATTGACGTGCGGCACCGAGCCCGCGTCCGTCCCGTGGAAGAGGATTCTCTCATTATCTGTACGGCCATTCTTGGTGTCCATGTGCTTTTTCTTTATCTGGTAGCTCTGCCAGAGAAATCCATTCTGTATCCTCTCAATCTGCAAATGACAAAGAGCAAAACATTTTGGAAACGACCCAAGAGCTCGGTGTAGTGTTTGTTGTGGCCTTTAAGCAATATAGAGAAGAGAAAGGGAAGGAACTGAAAACGAACAGCAAACTCTGAGTAGGTGATGACAAGAGAAAAATGCTGAGGTGTTCTAAATTGAATTACAGTGGGCTGGAGAGGGAGAGAAAGACAGAAGAGCCAACGAGACTGCTGCCATTCCTGAGGGTGTGTTGCAATGTGAATTAACTCCCAGGTGGCTACGCTGAGAGCATCTAAACAAGAGAAGGCCAGGCGTCATCAAGCCCCAGGGGCCTCGGCTTCTTGTTTACACATGAACTTTCCAGACTGTTTGCCCACCACCAATCGGAAGGAGCAAACACTTCTTCCTTACAGACTCCGTGTCTATCCCGAAACTAGCCCCGCTTCACCTTCTCCCACCCCCTTTATCTACAGCCAATGTAAATTCTTTCAAACCAACTTCCATCTTCTTCTGGCTGCTTGATGTATGAAAACACTCGCCAACTCCAGGAGGGTGGACATGGTGCCTTTTCCACCTGGCACTGCTGCGGGAGAATTAGACTTCACGCCCTAGGACCTGGTCTTTTTTCTTGCTAGCAATGACCCAATACTTTCAGCCATGGAAGCTGAAAATTTTGTTTAACGGTAGCTTTTTTGCCTTTCAAAAAAGGATAGGCTAAAAGTATCTGTATGTTGTAATAGTGCTTATTATTATCTATTTTACATAAAAGAACTTATAATGTATATTAAAATGTGTGCCTATATATATATTCCCTGGAACTCCTGGAAATTTATTGACATTCCAATTCCTACTCAAAAATTTGTAATCATTTAATAATTACTTCCTTAGTTCCTTCTGATCTCCCAACCACAGTTCTTTCTGCATTGCTCCAATTATGGTCACAAATCACCTCATAACTGCTTAATTTAATAACTATTTCTTTCCAGAGATCTCAATAGCATTTCAAATCGTGAATCACCCCCGTCTTGAAACTTTTTCCTTCTTTAACCTTTTTTTTTTAAATAAGAATCATTCTCAATTGGTTCTCATTCCTTCTAGGAAATGAATTTAGCATACTTTCACTAATCATTTATTAAACATCTAGTATGAGTCAAGCACTGTGTTTGATCTCTGCCCTCAAGACACTTTCATTCTAGTGGGGGAGGAAGACAAGAAAATAAATCGCTGCCCCTCACAGTGATAAGAGATGGGTTAGGAGAACATACACAGAGGACAAAAGCATCAGCAAGGGGCCCACATAGTCTATGTCTCAGGGGAGGGGAGGAAATCTGAGCAAATGATGTTCTAGAAACAAAGGTTGGAGAAGATGGGAGTGGACATCGGCAGCAGATGTTGAGGAGAGGCCAGGTGATAAAAGTGGGAGGGAAAGTTATTTTGCTGAGCATGATGGAGGCCTCGAAGGGATGAAGGTTTGGAATAGGGAATGCATGAGGGAGTTGATGGGAGGGAGCAAGGGAGGATTCCAGGTGCCCGGAGGGCCCAGCTGAGGTTGGAGACCATGAAAGAGTAATGATTTTATCTAGCAGCAGCAGGAGAGAAGAGAGGTTAGGGAATTAATCCAAAGGTGAGACTTTTCAAAATGGGTATGATAGGACAAGAGCCAATAATGTTGCAGATATTGGGTAAACACAATTGAAGCGAGGCTCCAGTACTCTCAGCAGCTTTTAACATAATGAAGCATCTCCTCCTTCAAATCTGTCTTTTCTGCAATCTCTCTTTTCTGATTCTCCTTCTTTTTCAGGAATTTTTATTCATTCCTTCAATAGGTATTGTGTCCCACAATATACTAAGTACTGGGAATGTAGAGATGAGTAGGAGGTGATTCCTACCTTATGAAGTCCACTGTCAAACAGGGGAGTCAGGCATGTGAAGGGTTACCAAAGCACAATTTCATAAGTGCTCTAAGGTAGTTAAGTACACAGTTTTATGGACACATCAGCTATACTTTAATTTACTAGGCTGTTATACCCTGCTCTGATGATCTTCTAATAAACTCCTATACTTTACTGACTAATATTTTTATGCAGCATAGTGGATGGCCATTGTAGAATCTCTGAACACCCATTCCACTTCATCCCCATTGTGGAGCAGCTTCTGGTTTGGATGGAGTTGGTCCTCCTTATAGTCGTAGGATGGAGCCTAATTGGGTTAAACAAATCTTGTGATGGGACCCAATAGCCCAGGTCCAAGCCAATCAGCATACGGCATTCTCCCAACCCAGACTGGTTGGAGTGGTCCACTCAACACAAAGCCTGGGATTCTTATCTGTTAATTGTGGGACAGGCACAGTGTCTCTTCTGCAGAATGTGAATGGGGGAAGCTGAGACTATCTGATTGCCACCAGCAGCCACCCTGTAATCACAAAGGGAATCCAGCCTTCAAACAAAGCTGACACTGTAGACAGCAAATCCAGAGAAACTGGATCCATGGCATTATTGAGCCACTAGATCAAACTACTCCAAACACCATCCTACTTCTGGACTTTCCATTAATCTCCAGTACAGTTCTTTTTAATCAGTTTTAGTGGGTTTATGAATTGTAAGTGAAAGAATCCCAACATATACGTGTGACTTTTGGGAGTCTCCTTCATTACTGCTAATGAATGAATCATGAGATTTGAGGTCTATGGAACTTGAGTGAGCCTAATTAAAATAAATATAATTTATTATATTATATTTATAAGGTATAAAAGAAGAAAGTGTTATATAAAAAGATAGCTTTCAGGTTAGTTCTTCAAAATTTAAAATAAGTCCTTTTTAAAATGCAATATTACCTTCTCTATTGTGTAAGAAAGACAAGTCTGAGAGAACTTGTTCTTCACAGCATCATATTCTGACTGTCCAGGTTGTAGTGGGATCACACAAAACTGCTGCTGGTTCATGTCAGTCCAGTGTTCAGGAATATTATCTGGAAAGTTAGCATGACATTCATTACCACAGTTCTCTGAAAATCAAGGCATTTCCTATGCTCTTTTTTCTCATTCATCTAATCCTGGCCTTTGGGGTTGGGGGAAGCTACACTTTTACTATCCTAAATTTTATAAACACAGATGAAGTGAGCAGTCCTGACCCTAATACGACATAGGTTAATTAACGATTTAGCTAAAATATTTAGATAAACTTAGATTCACTATAGCTTGAAATGATAATCTTCCCAGAAAGTTCTATGGAATTAATTCCATAGAAGCTGATATGTAAACATGAAAGCTAATTTACTGATGTTTTCACTTTTATCAGTTCTATTTAGTGTGGCTATTATTTTTCTTTGGCAACAGGATTGCCCTGCTAAAGATACTTAAAGCACATTGCTCTATATCCCATCTTCTATGATAAGCAAACACCACCTAAAGAAAATAACAGAAGTGCTCAGTGAGTGCTTTCATATAAAGTGGTGATGCTCAAAGTTTTCCTTTACTTTCCAATGGCTTCCAGAAACTTTGAACACACTGAAGCTACACATCAATGTCCTGAGATGACATGACTAGTAGAAATATGGACAGATACTATTAAAGAAAGTACCACAATACCACAGATAAAAACCAAAAGATTTCTTTCTCCTTACAAACAAGGCCACAATTTTTAGTGAAAGATATGCCAGGCCTAGGAGAGGGATCCAGGGCACTCCTTTCCTGTTTATCAAGTCCATTCAGGGAATGAAATTGTAGTGACGAAGTGAAGCATCTATCCCTCATCTGGAAGGTCTTTTCAAATGCAATTTTCAAAGAGTGTTTCTGGAGAAGTTTCCCATGGTAGGGTGCATAGTTTCTGCAAATTAAGCTCTTTGCTTTCCTCCGCTGTCCATCCCTTCCAGATCTTTTGACCTAATCTTTTCTAGTCCTAGGCATTAGAGCCCTCTTGGACCTGCTCCTTTCTTTTTCTGAATGCAGCAGGCAAGACTGGAAAGTAAGGGAAGTGTTTCTTTGCCCCCCCTTCCCTTCATGGCATGAGGTTGCAGAGCAGAAAACTACCAACACTTGGAGTCAGGAGACCTGATAAGCCTCAACCTATGACCAACAATCTCAGTCTTCATTTTCTCATCTGTAAACTGGAGATGATAAGATCTGCTCTCTTCACCATCTCATGAGTTTGTTACAAGTTTAAAATATAATAAGAGGCATTAAAGCACTTTAGGGAATGCCAAGTCCTTTATAAACACATGGTTATTATTCTTAAAAAACGATTACGTTTGATCTTTTCTACATCCCATAGGTATTTGTACTTAAAAAGAGAGTAAAGCCCTGTCCAGTTTGGCTCAGTGGTTAGAGTGTCAGCCTGTGAGCCAAAGGGTTTCGAGTTCGATTCCCTGTCAAGGGCACATATCTCGATTGCAGGTTCGATCCCTGGCCCCAGGTCAGGGCGTGAGTGGGAGGCAACCAATCAATGTCTTTCTCATGTCAATGTTTCTCTCTCTCTCTTTCTCTCTCTTTCTCTCTCTCTTTCTCTCTCCCTCCTCCTTCTTACCCTCCCTCCCCCTTCTCCCTCCCTTCCACTCTAAAATAATCAATGGAAAAAATATTCTGGGGTGAGGATTTAAAAAAGGGAGGTGGAGTAAAGTATAAAGCCAAGGGTATTTTCTTGAGAGGAAGGACTTTTTTTTAAAATCCTCACTTGAGGATATTTTTTTCCGTTGCTTTTCAGGGAGAGTGGAAGGGAGAGAGAGAGAGAGAGAGAGAAACATCGATTGGTTGCCTCCTGCATGCACCCCGACCAGGGCCAGGATCAAGCCTGCAACCAAGGTATGTGCCCTTGGCCAGAATCAAACCCAGGACCCTTCAGTCCACAGGCCAATACTCTAACCACTGAGCAAACTGGGTAGGGCGAGAGGAGGAACTTTTATTTTATTTTATTTTTAAACATATCTTTATTGATTTCAGAGAAAGGAAAGGAGGGGGAGAGAGAAAGAAAAACATCAATGATGAGAGAGTCACCGATCGGCTGCCTAGCCCGCAACCCGGGCATGTGCCCTGATCTGGAATCGAACCCCGATCTCCTGGATCCTAGGGCGATGCTCAACTGCTGAGCTACGCCCAGCAGGGAGAGAAGAAGAACTTTTAAATCACACCCTTAGGCCACACCAAATTGTGCTACCTCCTCTGCCTGTGGACAAAAGGTGTCTCTGGCTAGACAATTTAAGGATGAGAAAATTGAGTCCCAGAAAAGCCGAATACTCAAGCATCCAACATTATGTGGAAGCCACCATCAAAGCAAGGAACAGAATTGTGTTCTGTTGTCATGCAGCCCAGTGCTTCATAAAAAATAACATAATAGCCACCTTTCTTTAAGAGTTTACTAGGCACTTTCTTGAGCTCTTTTCCTATAAATCTCTCTTAAAAGACAAATGTCCCTGTCCTTTCCCGTTCTGGGCACTGAAGATAAATGCCCTCCTACACCTCTCCTTGTGTACCTGCCTCAGTCTCCTCTCCACATGTGGAGGTGGGATAAACACCAAGAACCCTGACTCTGCCTTCAGTCTCCACTCTCTTCACCCTGCAAAGATGACCTAAGCTGGTCCAATCAGAAGGAATCTCAAGCCTTATAATGGTACTTCTGTTCCCAGGCCTAATTGGATATATTGTTACTGGATACTCTTTCCTATTGGACCTGATCACACGAGGATATGGACCTGAAGCTGCGAGCAGCCGTCTTTCACTATGTGAAGCCTGATAATAAAGACAACCCAGCTGAGGAGAGAATGAGAGATGAAGAAAGTCAGAGTCCAAGATAATATCATATGAGTACCTGGATCAAACTGGACCTGAAGCCAAGTATGTCTGGACTTTACGGACATGTGAGTCAATGAATTCCATTTTTTGCTTAAGCTAGTTTAAACTGGATTTTCTGTTACTTGCTACTGCTAGAGCCTCAACAGATCCAGCTATTATTTTTATTTATTTTGTGCGAGTGCGTGGAGCTCTTACATGTACTGTGTGTGGCAGCACATTGAGGAGAATAGTTGTCAGGAAATAAGTGTAGGGAGAAATGAAATTCCTGCTGGCAGACAATTCTCAGTTTAAGAAGGCTGCTGGTGACAGGTGTGCCTCATTACTAGTAAAACTCACAGTGCTTCTGGGTAAGTGCTCAAAATGGATAAAAACAGCGATTGCAAGAGGAGGCTACATTTCTAGCTATTTTAACAGCAGTACAGAAGTTACAAAATGGGAGAAAGCTAGCTCAAAGGAGCAGGTCAACACAGATACTTTCACAGCAGGAATCTGTCTGCTCGTGATGTACAATCTGTACCGCCGGATGACCCTGGCCACTCAGGCATCTGCTTCTGTTCTCAGGCTAACTTATCTAGAGGTGGATGACCAATAAACCAGTATTGACCAGCTAGTTCATAGCTCCAAGGGGCACTGAGGGTCAATACCAATCAAAAAGGAAGAAAGTGAGATCATTGGCTTGGATTTTCAAAGTCTATTCTCCTGTTTCTGCTTCCTCACCTCTTCTCTCCTCTCCCTGTTCACTTGCTATTCCTGTTCTCCAGGCATGATTTTGTCCCTCAGAAGAACAATCAGTTGACAGGAGATTGTGTTCCACATTTCTTCTACTTTTCCCAAATATTATACGCGGTTGTCTGTAAAGTCCTGGAACTGATAGAAACAGTGAGCATTCACATCTAAACATTTTCTAAGTGATATTAGACATAACCAGATGATTTTTAAAGAACATCTTACATGCAGCCTTGGGGAATGTGGACTGAAAGGTAGGTGATGTGGTGTTTTCTCTTTTCTTCATGTTGTCATAGAATACAGTTAGCAGGTCGGCTCGAAAGACAACAACTTTAACTTTTTTTAATGATGGGTCAAAATGTTTCTCTGTGAAGTCTACAATAGCACTGATCATGTCATCAGCAACTCTGACGGGGTTTTTCCCAGCATTTCCTGGAAAAAAAAATTTTTTTTTTAAGTGACAAAAGAAGTTTTAGGTGGGACCAGATTTGGCAAATGCAGTTCTCGGTGCTGAGGAAAAGGAAAGCAGCACCCGACAGCCAGGAACTGACCTGGCACTCACAGCTGGGTCCTGGTGTTTTCCAGCTGAACACAAACAATTTAATAGAACATCATCAAAAGTAACCACTCTGTAGCCGTGATGAATTAAGCCAAAACAAGACCACTGCATAGTCATGTCTGACCATAGACAAAAATCTGAACACTATCCAAACCACATAAATGGCTCAACACTTCCCATCTTGACTAATATAAGCAATCATTGCTTCATTAGCAATCACAGCTTTAGCTACACTCTTCTTCTAGATAAGATACCCAATCACAGAATTACTTCCTGGAAGCATCCAACATAGAGCAAAGTCCTACGTACTTGTAACTGCCATAAAGTCTTCTAACACAAGTTCAAATCTGTTAATAAGTCCTTCCTAACAACCTCTTGCTGAGATGCTGCATGGTTCCCCATAGTATGTTTTCCTAGTGGTTTTAGCTGAAGGGCATTGGAAGTGCAGAGAAAAGAACATGTAATTTGGATGCAGACAATCTGGGATTATGTCCTGGTTCCCCACTGATTAACTGTGTGATCTTAGATAAGTCATTTGATCCCTCTTATATTAGTTTGCTAGGGCTGTCATAACAAAGTACCATGGATTGGGGGCTTATGCAATAGAAATTCATTCTATTAAAATTCTGGAGGCTAAAAGTTTGAGATCAGGGTATTGGAAAGATTAGTTTCTTCTGAGGCCTCTCTTCTAGCCTAGTAGGTGGCCATCTTCTTGCTGTGTCTTCACATGGTCTTCCCTCTGTGTCTATCAGTGTCCTAATCTCCTCGTCTTACAAGGACACCAGCTGTATTGGATTAGGGACCACTCTAATAACCTCATTTTAACTTAATTACCTCTTCAAAGGCTGTATCTCCAAATACAGTCACATGCTGAGATACTAGAAGTTAAGACATCAATATGTGAATTTGGGGGGACACAATTCAGCCCACAATACCTCTAAACTTCAGTTTACTCAGCTATAAAATTGGGGTGATAATAGAAGGGAAGAATATGGTAGCTAAGAATATAGCAATTAAGAGCACAGTGGTAAAAAAAAACAAACTCGCAAAAACACAACAACAACATAAAAAAACAACAACACATGATGTAAAAAACCAAAAGGGTAATAGTTGAAATGTACAGGCCAGGCTGCCTGGGTTTGGACTTGGTTACGTTGCTCACTAGCTATATGACCTTCTGCTTTAATACCTTAAGTTCTTATCTACAGAGTGGGGAAACTAATAGTCAAGGCTGGGTCCAGGTTTTGTAGGTTTTGAAATTTATACATCTCAGGAAAAAAACCACAAAATTACAACTATAAAATTATGATAAAAGTGAATATTTAGAATCGGAAAAGAAATCACAACAAAGGATAAAATTTTAAATGCTGAAAATGTATTTCCAAGTCAAGCTGTTTTAGCTATTTTCCAAAAATGCTTGCAGCCACGCCAACACCCAGTGCAGGGGAAGACTGAAAAGCCAAAGTAGGAAGTAACAGTGGTCTTAACCCATGGAGGTTAAAATGGCTCACTTTTGAAGTTTTGCAAAATCATATAACCATGTGAAGGCATCATTAGGGCCTCTCTCAGGGCTTTTTAAAAAGCTTGCGCAATTGGGTGTGAATGAATCAGGGAGTGGGTTATTAACATCATCTTCACCTAGGAGCGAATTATTGTATGATGTGATAGAGAGGATGAGGAAAGTGTTCCTAGAAACTGAGCAGGATGAACTGGAGCTTGTTGGTTAAGGATGGCGACTGCATCTTACTCATGGTTTTATCCCCAGTGCCTTGCATGGGGCCTGGGAAACCGCATTTCAATCTAATGAATGAGGAGCTACTGCAGTAAACTGGATGGGAGCAGTCTTAAGGCTTTGGAAACTGAAAGGAAGGCTGAAACTGAACAGCCCCCTGGAAGAAGATTTAATAGGACCTGCTGACTATGGGAGTCTGGGACACAAAGAAGCAAGGGTGGCGGGACAGCTGGAAGCTCATGGCACCATCGAAGCAGGAAACTAGAAAACGAGACAACTCAAGAGATGATGACAAGTTTGGATTGTGATATAACTAGGTTTTTGGTGACAACCTCCCAGGGGAGATCCTGGAGAAGGCTAGAAATGCTGATTTTGGAGTCAGTGCAGAAATGGTCATTGATATAATGAGGGCAAATGAATCCCCCAAAGGAAAAAAAATGAACAGTGAGAAAACTATGAAGTTAAGGGCCAAACATGGAAAGATACTTAGGAAACCTAAAATAAAAAGATGGATGAAAGAGGCACAGGCCCCATGCATAGCCCTGAAAGGGTCTGAGAAGCTGCGCCCTCTCTGCTTTACCTCACTATCGCTTTCTGGACTCAGCACTGAGTTCACTAAGAGTGAGGCTGTCTAAAGGAAACGGATTATTCCAAATCTTTGAGGGATGAGAGGCTGCAAACCTGTTCCAATGGCGGGAAGGGAAACAGATGTGTGCTTCCTCTGTTCACACTCTTCTAGAACACTGGAAACCGTTTTCTTGACATCATTTTCCCCAGGAACATGAATTATTATCTTGCACATTAAGTGTCCACCTTGTGTAACTATAAAATCTCTGTGAGGCTGTGTTGCTGGAAAAAAAGGTGGGGAGGGGAAGAAAAGGAAACACACAGAACACATGACTTATGGGAAGCAATGCTAATTACTGAGAAATGAAAATAGCTGACCAAGTCCAGCCTCTGTCCGTCTAGCTAGTTTCACTCTCTGGGATTGTGACAGGCTCACTTCCTTTACAACCTGGATTCTACACTGTTAAATATTTTGGGTACTCTTCAAAAGCACTCTACTTGTGTTAATCCACTCAATCCTCAAAACAAGCCTAGGGCGTAGGTTCTGTTTTCTCCTTTTCATGGATTAAACAAAAGCACAGAGAGGTTAAGGTCAGCAGCCCAAGATTGCCCAGGATTTGAACCTAACCAGTCACTGTCCAGAGCTCTTAACTCCCACCCTACTGTCCAGAAGAGTAATTTATATGCTCATTCAGCCAGATTCATTTTTCCAGAGGTGAAAGTAATGTATTCTGTGGTGTGGAAGTGTGAAAGGAGGTGCCCCTCCCTCAGGACCTATAGAGCTCTTGAGCACATGGAAATTATCAGGGCTTATTTTAACGCACCACCTTTTTGTACGCTGAGTGAAACAAGGCTCCAGGAAAACGCAGGAGGAGAGTTGGTCCCTGTCCTCCTGTGGAGCTCCCATTGCCCAGGCACTCCCTGCTGCCCCTTGGTTGTCCCACCTGCTCTCCTCTCCCAGGTAGCATCCTTAGACTTTTCCAGCTGTTCAGCCAAGTTTCATTCTCTGCTTCTGCCTTCCAAGGTGCAGCTAGTTCTTCCAGCACACAAATAAATCCCTGCTAATGTCCTCATGTTGGGATCAATATTACCATCCTCTGATCTGTCTCCAGGAATTTATTCACTCCAGAGAAAATGTCTTAATCAGAGGAGAGCTATTAAGGTGGGAGTTTCAGGCATGATAGTAGGTCAGTAGTGGGAATGTATTGTCAAACACGAAACACTGTGATTTCTTCAAATCACACTCATAGCTGACTGTCTACTCTGCAAGGTTCAGTCCTGGTTTTGAAGGATGAATAGGTTTTGATCACTCTTACAGTTTCCTCACTGTGCTGTAATAAAACATAAATATTTTGTTTCTGCAAATCTCCTGAGTGATAAGAGTGTCTTTTATGAGATGACTCTCGGAGGATGGGGGTGGTGAGAAGGGGGTGGAGTTAGATAGCTCGCGAAAGACCAAGCCCTCCTTCCAGGATTAGAACTCTCAGCCCCACCCCTTGACCTCTGGGAAAGGAGAAGGGCTAGAGACTGAGCTCAGGTGCAAATCCGATGGTCTAATCAATCATACCCATGTAATGAAACCTCCATAAAAACCCCTAAACAACAGAGTGCAGGAACTTCCTGCTTGGTAAGCACATCTAGGTGCTGGTAGGGTGGTGTCCCTGGAAGGGGCATGGAAGCTCTGTGCCCCTTCCCTCATACCCTGTCCTACGCTGGAATAAATTTTTAGGTCCACTCCCGCCAGGGGTGCCACAAGCAAACTGAACTTTCAAACCAAACCTTCATATTCCTATAAATGTTCCACTTAACCAGAAACACAGTATATCCATCCAGCCAGCTAATCCCCAAACAGCAACTCAACCAACCCTGGACTCCACACTTATTTCCTTGTGCCTTGATCTCTCTAAATAAGGTAAGATAAGGCACACAACCCCAGCCAGTCACAGGCTGTCTCCACGGTTGCGCTTCGAACCCTCTATAAAACCCGCACTTGCCCACCCCCCAGGAGAGGGCTCCCCCGCTTGTGAGGGGGCCCTGCGCTCCCCTCCACGGGTTCTTTTTCTTGAATCAAGGATGTCAAGCTCGTTACTAAATTGTTTGTGTTGTCATTTGACACAGTGTGTCTTTCATTTGGCTGTTCCTGATTTGTGTTCTTTATAATATACTGGTAAATGTAAGAAAAGTGTTTTACTGAGCTCTGTGAGTTGTTCTGGTAAAGTGTTGAACCTAAGAAGGGGTGACTGGGAACCTCTAGAGCCAGCCGGGCAGAAGTACAGGTGGCCCCTGGGACTTGAAACTGGCGTTGGAGGTGGGGGCGGTCTTGTGGGACTAAGCCCTCGAGCTCGTGGGATCTGGCACTCGCTCCAGGTGGGTAGTGTTGGAGGTGGAGAACTGGTTGGTGGGGGAAAACCCCCCAGGCCCACATGGCCTCCTACATTCATTCATAATAGAAGCAGAAGTCAGCTGCATGGTGTGCTGTATGAAGCAGAACAAGACTGGGGGGCGTGGACGGTAGTTTGCACAGCACTTCACAGTTCACAAAACTTTTTTTACACTCCTTGTTCCTTCTCCTCTCACAACCACATGTGGGGCAGCCCTTCCAGGCTCCTCATCAGTAGAACCTTCTTATGGGGGAAAGAAGCGAAACTCGCAGAGGTTGGATGACATGCCCGGGATCCCTCAGACGGGATAGAGCCTGGATTATCAGCACCCAGGCTGGGTTCTTTTTCATTCTCAGGAAGAGACAAGTGGGATGGTGGGATACAGGATCTCTCCCCAACAGCCACCGCATCCTATACCACCGATGTCTGCTCTCCCAGGGAACCGACCTTCTTCCAAAGCGCTCACCGCTTACTGCGCCATGGGCCCTCTCACAGCAGTCTCAGCCCTCAAATTTTCAATAGGTTGTAGGCAAAAGCAACATGTGACCATACCTAGCACAGCACATTCATCTTCCACAGCTGGTCCAGCACCTTCTAAAATTGCTTTTGACACCCCTACAGAAGACATGTTAGTGATATTAAGATATCTGTTAAAATTCAATAAGTGGTTATAACTTTTGTACATTAGACTTTTATTCAGCTCACCCTTTGCATATCCATTGATGCCCCCTCCCTCCAAAATCACCCTTCCTTCATTCAATGGCTGATGAATGAACAATCTGATCCACAGGATGAGGGCACTGTCCAATAGCTGAGTCTCCAGTGTCTGCAATTTTACCGTCTGTATTTGTACCAGAATGTTTTTACAGTTGTTTAAGGGGTTGTTGTTTGTGTGTGTGTGTGTGTGTGTGTGTGTTCTATGCTTATTATTTTACAAAATTGAATTAAAAATATAAAAATAAAAGTTCTGATATGAATGAGAAGCATGGATCTCAAAACTATAACAAACCTGAGCATTTTACTTAAATTCTTTGATTTTGTTATTTAATTCTGTTTAATTTGTTTTTTCACAATTAGACAGACAGTTGGCTTCTTTGGTCTAATGACTCTTCTAATCAAGGCTGCAGCTTCACCACCTTGGTCGTGTCTAAGGACAGCTGGGTTGAGCGGTTGAAAACATGGACTTTGCATTTTGGCACAGAGTCAGAGTTGACTCCACATCCTACTAGCTAGTATGTGACTAGTCAGTTCCTTATCTGTTACACAAAGGCTGGCACAGTACTTTTCTTACAGGGTTGTACGAACATTAAAAGAGATAATGGATGAAAAATGCTTAGCACAAAATCTAGCACACAGAAAGTATTGAATAAATGTTAGTTATTTTAACATCATGAACATCGATTGACCTATCATCTTCTATCTACCTATATCTCCTTGATTATGCATGTGTTATGAATTGTATCTTTTTAAAAATCTGTTTTTAAAAATTTGTTTTGGTCTCTGACTTTGCAATGGTGGAGGTTTTTCTCAAATATCAGGTGATATTTGTCACTCCATTGATATTTAACAGTGAGTTTGGAAGCTCCATGTGCAGGCGGCTTGCTGAGTGATAGGCTTCAGTGTAAGGTGAGCAGGCAGTAAATACTGGACTTTAGGGCAGTCAGGTTCTCCCCAGAAGGATCCTCCTGTCTCTTGTCTGGAGGGTGTAAGCCGCTCTGCTGCTCTGGGAGCCCTGCAGGGACAGGGGCTGGGCGCTCGCTGTTTACTACAGATGTTTCACTGAAATCCTGTTTTCAGTCTAGCTCCCCACCCATCTCACTTGTTCCCATTGTGCTAACTCCAGGAATCTCTCTGGTTCAGTTTCTCTAAAAAATACACTTCCCGTCTCTGGCCAGGAAAGAGCAAGGGAAGTTACTGCTGCAAGGGGGTAGCATCAAGAGCTCTAAGTGCTATGGATACAGAATTTCATCCAATTCCATTTTCATCTCTTTTTATGCCCTGCCTCCCAGGTTCCTGCTGCCTCCAGTTCCTGTGTTTCTAGGGGCTGCTGTTCTCTTCGGCGGTACAAAGTTTTCTCCATTCCCTGTCAGTTACCTCCACTGGCTAGCTGCTTCCCATCTTCTGAAAATATGCTGCTATCTCTGTACACTGTTGTTTTTCCTCCAACTCTCTTTTTCTCTGTGGGTTTATCCCCTTTTAATTCCTTTACTGTTGCTTTGATGGAATTTCAAGAGGGGGCAAAGATAAATGCATATGTTCAATTTACTATGTTTTAAATAACTAAATGTTCTTTATTTTTTTTAATTGAATGGATAGTCTAAAGATTCACTTCTGCATAATAAGTTCCATAATATTTTGCAATTCAGAAAATACTTAAGTTTCTACTTATATTTATGTTTTATCTTGCCCTTTTAATTTAAAAATTAATGTTTTGTAATATACAAACTGCATCAGCATACGAGTATATGTATTTAAGCTATAAATGAATAGGTGCTCAAAGGTGTTATATCAGTTGGGGTGGTCAAATATTTTAGAGAAAATCAAGAAAAAGAGGTTGAATTTCATTTTGATCAGTATAGTGTAGAGGAGAGTTACAGGAAGTGAGATGTGAGTACTAACTGAATTACATAAAAAAGGAACTAAAAATAGAAGAACTTAAAGCTGATTAAATTAGAAGTAACTTTGATAGTTCAGAGCTAACAAGGGGATGAGAGCTGACATTGACTAAATATAATGCATCAGTTACACCCCACCTTTACATCACTTAAACCCCATCTAATACTTCTTTGGGAAATAGGCATTTCACAGGCAAAGGGGTTAAGTGATTTATCCAAGGCTACAGAATGGTAGGTGGCATAGCTGGGATTCAAACCCAGGTCTTTCTGATTCCAGGGCCTGCATATTTACTACATGCCTCTCTGTCTACTCAGGGCAACATTAGCCACCATTTCCCTTCCAGGAATTAGTCATGTTAATAGTTACAATCAAGTATGCTACTTAAATGAAGTACCTGATTTCAGATTAAACATCCTTGTTGTTGAGTTTACAATAACATCTACACTTTCTTCTGTGATATCTCCAACAGCAACCTGGAAAGTAAGTGCACCAATTTTCATTTCATACGTTGTGGAGTTGGGGTTAGTGACAGTCCCGGAGATACCTGTACAGAAAGAGAATGGATGCAAGAATAGCTGGCGCCTGCAGGAAGAACAAACGTGACGGGGCCCTACTCTCTTCCCGGTCCTCCTCTTTCTTTTCCTCGACATAAATCCAAACATTACCCTGTTTAACATGGCCTGTTAAATTGCTGGGTGTTCTTTTTAAAGGAAATCAGAAAACAATGCTTTGAGCAGTAGGAGCACCTACATTTTCTCTGCTAAATAGGATGAGGCAGGAACATCTGAGGGGTGAAGGGTGAGAAAGTAGGGGAGAGTGCAAAGTGCGCTCTCCTTTCACACTGACATTTCTGGGAGATTCTTTTTTGCCTCCAGCTTTATTGACATATAATTAACAAATAAAAATTGCATATATTTAAGGTGTACATTGTCAGGTTTTCATTGTTAAATGATTGCCACAATTGAGCTAATTAATATACCCATTCTCACCTAGTTACCTTGTGTGTGTGTGTGTGTGTGTGTGTGTGTGTGTGTGTGTGTGTGTGTGGTGAGAACACTTGAGATCCACTGTCTTAGCAAATTTCAAGTATATGATACATTATTATTAGCTATAGTCCCCATGCTGTACATTAGGTCTCCAAAGTTTATTCATTTTATAACTGAAAGTTTGTACTTCTGGGAGATCCTTTTATTACTCTTTTACAAAAAGGAAATGGTCTTAGAATGGCTAGGTCATTTGTCCAATGTTAAACAACAACTTACTAACCAAACATGAGCTCTTCCTGCCCCTTCACATCCCACTGAAATAGCAGTATCAAGGCTGCTCTAGGAAAATTACCTTTAATATGTTGACATATTACTGTCCACTCTATACTCTGAGCCTTTACAACTTAGATGTGCCTTTTCTACTCATCCTGTAAACTCTTTAGGCCTCTCCTTCCACATTTATACAGTGCCAATAGAACCAACCACCTGCTTATGGAGCCATGGTATAGGGTTAAGTAATATAACATATATGAAAGCAATAAGTAAAGTTCAGTGTGTCATGTACATTTTAGTTATCTTTTATTATCATATCTTAGAAATTCTGGCCTCATTGCCAATGATTTGGTTCCCAACAATATGATTTATTCTTTGGAATGCTCTAACGCCTTCTCCATTACTGATTTGTTCTTTGTGGGAATCTGTCTCCTTCTTTTGGACTTTAACACAGAAAAGTCACTAAGCAAAGGGAAATATTTCCCCAGCAGAACAATTTCACCAGACCTTGAGTACCTCCAGCCATGAGATTCCTGTGCTTTTTGGGCTTTCCACTGGACCATCTAGTGAATCTATCTAAAAATGCCTGAAGAGAAAGAAACACAGTTACTGATCACAACAGTGCTCTGTAGAAATATTCATCCAGTTCTTTGGAACATGGAGCATCAGACATCAAACAGGAACAATTGTTCTCAATAGATTTTCTCATCTCAGAGACTTTTAATTAAAGGGTTGTGATTCAACCTAGGAATTTTTTCAATAAGTACCAGTGCTGACTTACATTATTTCATGGGAAGACCATACTTCTATCTTAAATTCCCGAGAATAACTAAGAACTCAGAAAACAAAAGTATATTTGATATCTTTTTTTTTTAATATATCTTCACTGATTTCAGAGAGAGGAAAGGATAGGGAGAGAGAGAGACAGAAACATCAATGATGAGAGAGTCATTGATCGGCTGCCTACCCTGCAACCCAGGCATGTGCCCTGACAGGGAATCGAACCCCAATCGCCTGGATCCTAGGTTGACACTCAACCGCTGAGCCACACCAGGCCGGGCTTGATATCTTTTTAAATGCTCATTTTAGAAAGTTGTAGCACTTGCCCTTAAAGTCGAGCAATAATAACCACTTCTACAATCAGTTTTGAGACTTCCTATGTGCTAGAAACTTCAAATACATCCTCTCTTAATTCTCACAGCTGAAAGGTATTGTTGCCATGCTGTTTACACATAATAAAACTGAGATTCAAAGAGGTTACTTCATTCGACCTTTAAATGGCAAAGCCAAGATTCAAACCTAGCTGTACCTTTCTTCTTCATACTCTTTTCTATTGTTTGCATTTTTGTTATGAGTATACAATTTATACAAAATCAATAAAACTTTTTCAAGGGTGAAAAATAGATTTTGATACTCAGAGTAGGCCAACCAGCTGAGGATCATGTCTCAAGGAAGGACATTTTACAAGGGCAGGGCTACTGGGAAGTACTTGGTAAGTGTGCTCTAGCTGATTCTCCAAGACTAAACATGGTATGACGTTTCCAGCTTTAGACTCTCATAGACCTGTATGGACAGGCTATATTCTATTTAAATAAGTACATTCTTGAGGCTACTCATGTCTGGCTTTTTCTCTATAGATAAAGTCATGACTTAGCTTTCCTTTAGTCATTGTTAAAATATCTGGGCCACTTTTACACCAATAACTTTCTTGTTCTTTCTAAGAATTTATTTATTATAAATTATCTTGTCCTTTGATAAACTGTCTAAGAAGGATTGTATGTGTTGTCAATGTTACCTTATAGTTAAGCCATATGACAACTCCCATCAGCAACCCACACTTATGGGCAGAGAAGTAGAAAATGCTGTTATTTATAGATTTTCTAAGACATCAGACTGCACTTAGGTTTCTTGCCAGAATGACAGAAGAGATACATAACCATACCTGAGGGCTTTCATCATCATCTAGATGTACCAGAAAGTGCACTTCTTGTAAGGTTTTCAGCCATGAACTGCTACTAAATTTAGACACTTCTGAGAGCATTATTTTAGCAAATATAGCTTTGGGAAATCCCAAATTTCCTGTTCCAATCATGGGAAATGTGATTGATGAGAAGGATAGCTCTTCTACAGTCATCAAACATTTCTTGATTATACTTGCCATGATCTGAAATGTACAAAATACATCTATATAAGCAAGGGCTCAAGTTAGTAGCAGTTGTAACAAGCCAAATGTTCTCCCCATGAGACAAATGTGAATTTATCTCATGGGGGGAACAGATCTATACCATGCCAGAAGATTACCAATGCTATCAAGTGAAATGGAAAACTAAGGACTTTTTCTACCTGCTGAGAAGACCCCATTCCATTATCCCAGTCTGGAGCCACAACATGGAGCACAGCTTTGCAGTCCAGATTGTAGCCACTTGTCATGAATATGCTACCCACTTCCTCCTCTGTTTCCTGTTTGGTGGCATTTAACTCTTCCTGGAGGATGGGACCAGCTTTCTGCAAAAGAGCCTGAGAGAGTGGTCCTCTTCCAAGCTGAAGATCCGTGGGTACAGTGTTGACAATGACATCAGCCTTAATGAAAACATCAACAATTTGTTAAAGGTTGAATCAATAAATACTTACTGAGCACCTATGACCTATTAAGTATTATGGGGTAATGCACAAGATATGTGTTGCCCTACCCTCAGGGGGAGTTATATTCTGTTGTTAGTACTTAGATACCATAATGACGTGAGCCCCAAAACTTAAAAATTAAAGAAATGTATTACCCACTACCATCAGGTCAACATGTTATAAGTCAGAGTAGAGCTATGAAAATGACTGAAACAGACTAGAGATAGAGAGATATAGAAAAAAAAAGTGTGAGAGTGAAAGGCAGAGGCAGAAAGAGAAACATAGTGAGACTGAGGAAAAAACACAGAAAGATTGAGAGAGACTGAGGAAGAAAGAGAGAATTGTTTTTAGGCTGGCAGGAACTGAGAGTAATTGTTTTGACTTTATTAATATACATAAATAAAGAATGGGTCCCTCTAAAAAGGGGAGTTCTGGTCAGCCCTAAGAGCCTAGACAAAGGAAAGTCACTGGAGTGAAGGTTGGCAGTGTCCATGCAGCCTGTTTCCAGGGCACTCTGTTCTCCAGTGTCTGTTCTGAGGCCATCTCTTTGGTGAGATGGGGTCATTGCCTGATGCTAACAGATATTAGATATTCAATTCATCTAATTCATTTACTCCAATTTTGTGTTCAAATTTGGAGGGAGAATGCTCTGATCATGTGGATTTTGAGGATTCTGGGTCCTTGGGGTGCTCTTCCTCATATAAATTCAAAGGTATATATGTCTCTGGGCCACATAACGGTACTATTTCACACTCTAAGTTAACAATAGGCCTCTGTGGGTCCACCTCAATCTTATATGAGGTTAGTTAACATAAACTAATCTCTGGGCCCAAGAAGCTCCCTGCAGGGATAAAAGTGAGTGAGCCTTCCAAAAAAACCAACTAGATCCAGCCCACTTTCGCCTCACTCCCACTTGTAGCCTCACTCTCTACTTACTAATTCAATACACTAATATGTAAAAAGTAAAATAGTCTTAATGTTCAAATCAGTTCAAGATAACCAAAACCACTCTGTGTTAAATATACAATTATTAATTGCTATAGAATTCAAAGAAGATAGGTATCCCTTAGATTGGATTGGCTAGTAAAGACTTTACAAAGAGGATAAGGGATATAAAGAGGACAAGTAGAAAGAAGGCAGGAAAGCATTCTAGGTGGGCTATCATCTAAGAAAATGCATGGAATTGAGGAACGTCAGAGAGTTGGCCTATTTAGCTAAAGGAGAGTTACAATAATGAGAAACACTATTTACTCCAATAAATAGTGTCTGGCTGGAAATAGATGATGGAGGACTCTGAAAACCCACCTTTTTCTGGACTTTATCCTAGAAGCAGTAGGGAGCACCTGACAAAACAATGTTTTTGGAAGATGCACCAAGCAGCAGCATAGAGGACAGGCTGGAGGGTGAGAGCCTGAAGGCAAGAAGGCGAGGCCAGTGCTAAGGGGATGAAAAGGAAAGGGCATGTACAAGGGACATTGGGCAAGGAGTCTTGGAAATTAACTTGATAGGGAAAGGAGTTCAGAGATGAAAGAGTTTAAGAGGGTTCCAAAGTTTATACAGCATCATCCAATGGTAAGAATAAGTACCCTGACATGATTGACAAGAGTTTAACAATCAATAGAAAGTGTAGAGGAAGGACCTCAGTTTCCTAGACTATAAGATGAGGGTAAATAATATCTCTCTCAATTAGATTGTTGTGGTAATTGTGTGAGGTGAAATTTAAAGTGGTCAGTTGTAAGTGGATAATGATAATAGCTGTCATTTTCTGAGTCTTTACTATGTGCCAGGAAGGTGCTAAGGGCTTTTATATGACGTAATTTTTTCAAACCTCACAACAACTCTAATACCATCATCACCCACATTTATAGATAAGGACACTGAGGCATAGGGAGATATTGACCGAGATCAGTGGATGCTCAGTGGTAGAGTGGTATTTGAACCCTGCCAGTACTGGCTTTACAATTGGTCTGGGTAACCACTGCACTGTGCTGCCTCCTAGAGTGACAAAGAAATTTAGTGTACTTTTATGTCGTTCAGTTTCTTTCTAGTCTGATTATATTCACCAAGCAATCTCAGAATAGTCATCTACAGAGCTCACTATTACCAGGAGCCATGGCAATTAGCTTTCTCATTGCAAATTAAATAATTACAATTCCATTTTACAAATGAGTTTCTTGAATTTGGTTAGTGTCAGATCAAGTCTAGTTAAAATGATAAGATTCAACTTCTCAACCTGCAGATCAAAGGACAAAGTCCTGAACCCATGTGACAAAAGAGTCTAAGGGCTCTATTTACTCTAGAGAACATGAAGAAAGTGGCTGGCTGCCACCCCTCTGCCCTCTCCTTAGCTGCAGCAAAAGCAAAGAATATTTCCAGTAGCTCATAATCCATAGGAGTCTCTAAATTTCCCAGAAGGGTTCTCTACCCATTAGTCTTGAATGTGTGCCATCTGAAGGTAAATATCAAGTGTCAAAATGGTGGACATTTTAGAATTCTGAAGAAGACTCCAAATCAATAATAATTCTCAGCCCTAGATTAGAACCACCTGGAATGCTTTCAAAAACTACTGACACTTAATCCACATACCTGACCAACTAAAATCAGGATCTCTTGGGGTGAGGTCTGGGCATTGGTATTTTTTAAAAGTTTTCCAGGTGATTCTGAATTGCAGTCAGGATTGAGTTTCATGGATGTCAACTTTAGATGGAACACATGGCCTGTTAATTGGTGATTCCAAGGAAAAGAAAGGAATAGGAGGAGAGGGACAGGCAAGAGCCCAGCTGAGCATTTAGTGCCTGTACTGATAACATTTCTCCCTCCTCATTTCTCCCGTGCCTTAGAAGGTGATGAGGCAGGAGCAATGGTGTGTGTGTGAAGGGTGATATTATAATGTGATATATATGTGTCTTCCCATTAATGCTGATGAAACAGGAGAAGAAAACAGAGTTGAGTTCAGAATAGGTCAAGATAAGTTATAGAGAAATAAAAGAGGTGGATTTGTAGAACCTGCTTGGTGGTTAAACTTGGATCTCTCCACATAAGTACAGGTGGAAAGATATAAGAGATGGTAAGTACACTGCTGCATGAACCTCAGGTGGGTCTAACTTCTCAAATTTATACGATCTTAATCGTTGACCCTAAATCACAGAACCAGTTCACTAGACCCCACTGTTCTTATGTAGGCTTACTAAATAGAACCACTTACACAGAAATATGAAACATCTCCACTTATCAACAAGAGGTTCAGACCTTCTTTGGTTTGGGTTGAGGCTATAACATTTCTGTTTGAAAAACAATCTTTCAAGCTGACATGATCCCTTGACTGTAAAGAAAACAGCAAAAAGCATTACCAGGTAACGCCATTTGAAGACTTTCCCCATAGGTGCCCAAACAAAAAATAACTATTAGATTTCACAGACTTCTCTAACTCAACTCATAATCAACCCTAAGATTCAAAAGCAAGTAATTTATTATCACAATGTTTTAGTATTATATTTAGCATTGTACCCCAACTGCCAATGAGCACTTTTACTTATTCCCCCAAGAATCCTAGCCTAGCAGACCCTGTCCATTTCCCCTGGCTCTTACTATTTAAAGGTCCCTCGGTCATATTGGCAACTGTATTTCCTGCCTGGGGACTTTCCATACATAGTGCGAAGGTCTGCTTTGCTTGCCAGTGTAGCAGAGAGGAAGTGCAGGTAAATTAAGCTGCCCTCCCTTGCCCTCAAGCCCTCATTCAATGATTGGCAGAAGCTGGTATAAAACTATCCCAGCAACCTTGCCTGCCAGATAAGACTAACTCTGATTTGCCCAGTGGGATTAAGTAGTAACTGATTTGATAACACACCCTATCTGTGTCCTTTACTCTTCTATATAAATCACTTGCACTTGAATCTGTCTCAGTTCTTCTTCTGGGGGAACCCATAAGTAAGACACACCCCATAGTTTTCCACAGTAATGCATTAGCAGTTTGACTAGTAATCAGTCACACTGATAGTCAAAATTCTAATAGAATTTTGGAATGTAAAGAGTCAGCACAGATCATTCAGTACAGAAACTTCATTCTCCTAAAAGGGAAACCAGTGTGCAAAGAGATGAAGCCGCTTGCTCTACATCAAATTACTAGCTAATGAGAGATACAATACTTGAATCTGCTCTTCACAGAAGAAGAGCCAAACAGTAAAAACATGCCATATGTCTCATACACACACACACACACACCTGTCCCCACACCTGTGACAGACATTATTCATTGGTATCTGCACTCTTTTCCAATAAACCCAGATACAGTCTCAAAATCTTTCTCAACACAGAGCTCAGGCAACAACTATCATTTGATCAGCAATAAATGTATTTTCCATGTCTGATCTAACTCAAAAAGGATATGAATTTTCTTTGCTTAAAATAAATTTAGAGAATTTTTCACACTCTACTTTGTGTAACAAACAGAAAACGCCAGAAGGACTGGGAATGGGCTTCCTGAGCAATCCTTTTCACTTGCTCCAGAATGTCATTCTTCTTTTGTACTGTCCTTCCTGCGGTCTGGTATGAATGGTGAAAGCAATATCAATGATCTCCCACACTCAGAATTTCTTTGGTATAGACTCTTCAAAGCACTGATGTGAAGACTAGAAAGCTTTTCAGAAGAACCAGCCACATTCTCTGTCACAATGTTTTGGTTGGTGTCTTTAGTTGCATTACAATTCTTTTCACATCCTCCAAACAACCTATTATTATGGCCATCTCCTTGAACGTATCAATCAAAACCCTTTCATCTTCATGCTGTTTTTTATGCTCTCTCATACTACTGGCTTCACATTCATTTTGGTGGCTTGATATTTAGACATGATATGAGAAAAATTTTTAGAAACGCCTCCTTTCCAGATCTTGATGACATTGACCTTTGTTCTTCCTTGAGTGAACTAGGTGGGCTCAGACCTGAGTGTTACCTCCAGCTGACTACCTTCAGCTGACTTGGGGCCATGTTACCTCACAGTGGCCCTTCCCCTTTTATAATTTATCATTCCAATCAGGTGATGCTTTCTCTGCAAGATTCTTCCTTATGAGAGGATCCAAGGCCACCAGGAATGGTGCCTGCAACTTTCTCAAAGGCTCCTCCCTTCCGTACAAGGCTGTGTTGAAAGAAACATAATAGGAAAACACAGACGTGGGCCTTTCATTGAAGACAAGATTTTTGATCAAGTAGGTGTCCACCACTAAAAAATAAAAAAATTAAAAGGTTAGATATTATACAGCCAAAATCTTTGGCGCAAGAAGAAATCCTGATATTAATGAGACTGAAATACGGTGTGTCTACTATCTAAAATGGTACCACTGTCAAGCAGTTCAGTGAAGGATGTGACATGCATAAATGCAATGGAGCTAATCCTCACCTAATGAAATAGATCTATTCCATTCATGGTTACTTTGCAGTGAAGTTTTATAAAACTAATTTGATTTTCCCATGGACATCCATTATACTGAAGAGGTGATTTTTTTTCTGAAAAAAAATCTGCCCCTTAGAGATTCAATAAATGCTAACAATAATGCATGAGCAATTCAGAATAACCTGTTAGAAATTAAGCCAATGCCATTCTTTAAGGGAATAGTTATAATAATCAAAAATATTAAAAACAATTGTGTGCTGTAGTCAAAAGAAGTCATAAAATTAGGTCAGATTCTCTAGAAGCAGAGCCAGAGATGGGGATTCATATACAAGTGATTTTTTAAAGTTGTGCCCTCAGGAGAAACCTGTAAAAAGTGAGAGAAGAAGATAGAGAATGTGGTTTAGGTTAAGCCTGGCTTCTGTGTGATCGTGCAAGGAGCTCTGGATTATATAAATTATATATATATATAAGTTGTCCTAACTTTGACACAAGGGAGCTGTGTTCTCGTTCCTCCATACCAATCAGTTATTGTCTAAGGGCCCTCCTGGTTGGGAGATGAACGTAAACTCCCAGGTACCTCTAGTTTCCAGACATTCAGTCTCCCAAAGTCCTTCACAGCAAGACATACAGCAGTTATAATTGCACCTAATAAATAAAAGAGATCCCAGGGCATCTGCGAGAGGCACCAGTGGAAAGAAAGAGCACTCAGGGAAGTCCAAAAATTAACTACATAAGTCTGGGAGAAAGAGAATGTGACTTAGTAGTGAAGTCATGTAAAAACATCTAAGGGATTTTGGTTGACAGTAAACTCAGTATAAATTAACAGTGATGTAGCTATGTTTGAGGGAGGAAACAAAGGTTACCAAATGCTGGCAGAGATGTGAAGCAAAAAGAACTCTCATTCATTGTTGGTGGGAATGCAAAATGGTGCAGCCACCTTGGAAGACAGTCTGGCAGATTTTTACAAAACTAAATATACTCCTTACCATATGGTCCAGCATTTGCTCTCCTTGGTATTTACCCAAATGAGTTGAAAACTTATGTCCACACAAAGCCTACACATGAATGCTTACAGCAGCAATATAGTTTTATTCATAATAACCAAAACTTGGAAACAACCAAGATGTCCTTCAATAAGTGAATGTATAATAAATTGTGGTACTTCCATAAAATATAACATTATTTAGAGATAAAAAGAAATGAGCTGTCAAGCTACAAAAAGACAGGGAGGAAACTCAAATGCCTATTGCTAACTAAAAGAGCCACTCTGTAAGGCTACATTTTGCATGTTTCTAACTATATGACATTCTGAAAAAAAAACAAAACTATGGAGACAGAACATAGATAGTATACAAATATCAGTGGTTGCCAGAGGTTTGGAGGAGGGAGGAAGGAATGAATAGGTGGAGCACAGGGAGGTTTTAGGGCACTGAAATTTTTCTGTATGAAACTGTAATTGTAGACACATAACATTATGCATTTGTCAAAACCCAAAGAACCATATAACACAAAGACTGAACTCTAATATAATGGACTTTTAATTAATAATAATGTATCAATACTTTTCATCAATTGTAACAAATATACTAAAATAATGCAAGATGTTAATATTAGGGAAAACTGGGGCCAGGGTAATTCTCTTTACTTTCTGCTCAATTTTTCTGTAAACATAAAACTGCCTTAAAAATAAAATCCATTCATTTAAAGATAAAAAGACAATGGTGAGGCTATAATAAGAGAAATAGTAACAAAAATGTGGGTGGTGAAAACTCTATTCTACATTTCACTGTTAAAAACAGAAAACTCCTGGGTATTGTATTGTGCTTAGTTCAAGGTGTCAACTTTGCAAAGGGAATATGAAAACTAACTCTGTTCAGAAGAGGGAAGCTGATGCTATAAAAGGACTCTGATCACATCAGGCTATATAAAAGGAATTAAACATATTTAACTTGCAGAAGTAGAGAAGTAAGATGGGGTGGGGAGGGGTGGGATGCAGGGAGCAGGACATAATAGTTGTCCTTAAACAGTTGAAGGGCTATCTTAAAAAAAATTTATTTCTACAACTCTAAAGGAAGAACAAAGACTAATAGATAGAACTATAGAAAAATATATTTGGGCTTAATATAATGCAGATTTTAAAAATTCTCACCCAAGGATGTTTTTCATTGATTCTAGAGAGAGAGGAAGGGAGGGAGGGAAGAAGCGAGAGAGAGAGAAACACTGATAGGTTGCCTCCTGCATGGGCCCCGAACTGGGAATGAAACCACAACCTGGGTAAGTGCCCTAACTGGAAATAGAACCAGAGACACTCCAACCACTGTGCTACATCAGCCAGGGTTATAATGCTAAGGTTTAAAAAAATAATTAGAACTATTGTAATAACTAAGTTTGGTGCCAGGTGGGTAGTAGACTTATTGTGGGAATCACTTCATAAAATAGTAACTTGTGTTTCCCATTTTACCTAATTTTATAATTGTAATAGCTTTATTTATTGAATATCTGTTATGTGTCAGATGGTTTACAAATATTATGCCACTTAATTTAATCTTCACAATGACCCTGTGAGATAGATTTTATCTCCACTTTTTTTTTTTTTGCACTCAATTGAATTTACTGAGATGACAATGGTTAACAAAATTATACAGGTTTCAGGTGCACATCTCAGTCTCTATTTGGATGCGTAATTATCATAAAGGTAAAGTCCTATAACTATTAAAACTCACTGAAAATTTGAGGGCACATGTACAGTGGTTAAGACAATACACTCAGAAGTCAGAATGTCTAATTTGGAATTTTGACTCAAATACTTATGAGCTGTGTGACTATAAGCAAGTAATTTACTCCTCTCTAAGCCCAGATTTCTTCATCTTTACAATGAAGACAATAATAGTATTTATCTCATAGTGCTAATATGTTATGAGATAAAGTAAGTAAAAACTTAGCATAGTGCTTAGCATAGAGCAAACACTTGATAAATGTTAGCTATTAGAAGTACCAGAAGTAGTAATACATATTTCCTTGCAATTATCTCACTGGGAGTTAGAAAGAGCACAACTTTTAAAGACCCATTGTGAGATGCCTGGAATCTCAAAGTTGGATACAACCACAATTTGTAGATGAAGGGTTAAAAGTTATCATCTGTCTTACCAATATTTTTGAGAAAAGTGACAACAGCAACTTTAGTATTGTGTATTGCTTCCATCCTGAAGTCAGCATTGGCTTCTGACAGGCCACAAGTCAAGTCCAAAAGCAAAGGTCGCCCATTCTCAGTCACGGTGTCTTGGATATTATAAAATGCAACCAACAGAGAGGCTTTACGAAGGGTCTTTTTAAACTTCATCAATTTCATCCACTTCCATTTCATCCACTGTACTCACTCTTCTGACAAGTTTTACTTTTGTACTGAGGTCTCCCAACTCAGCAATTTTTAGGGAGACAAAAACACTTAAGATGTTAGTTTTTATATTTGATTTGGGACTTGAAAGGCTCTGTTCTTTATGTTACTTACTGATGTTTTAAATACTTAAAAAAATAGATTTCACTCATTGCCTTATTTTTAAAAAAAGCAACTCTTTGGCTAAATGATCATGTGAAGTTAAACATTATACATTGTAAAGACAGATTTACTCACCCAATCACAGGAAAACAAAAGTAATAAACATGACAGTAAATGATGGTGTTCATCTACTGAAGTAAACAGAGCTACAACTTGTTACTGAAAAGAAAGAAGTTTCCATTATGGCATAATGAAAGGGCAATCTACAGAGATAACCAAAGTACAAATACGCTGCCTATTTACTAAGAAGATTAGGTATGAGTAGGCATTTATAGACATAGGGAGAACAGAGACTTCTAAAGACTTCTCAAAAAATGCATTTTAAAGTAATAAGTACAAAACTAAATAGTTCTAAATTAAGAATAGGTAATATGACAAGAGTAGAATAAAAATTCCAGAAATAAGTCTCAATCTAGGAAAAAGTACAGTGTATGAAGTATTAAGAGGAATAAGAAAGTGGAGAGATGAATCATAATTTAATAAATATTGTTGGGAAAGATGACGGCAGACTGAGTGGAAGCTACACTGACACTCTCCCAGGACCAACTGGAATTACAACTAAAATATAGAAAAACCACCCTGAATAATCAATTGCAACTGAGGACGAGCTGGAGAGCACCCTCTTAACCAAGGAGGAAAAGTGGAGACTGCATAGAGACTGATAGGAAGTGCAGAGGCACAAGAGGGCTGGCTGGGCTCCCACAGGAAGCAGCTGAAGGTCCAGAGGGATATCTCAGCTGTGGGGGGTTCCCAGTGAGGATTCTGGGGCCTAAACCCCAGGCTGGGCTTCCCAGTCAAGAGCACCAGAACACAGAAAGGTGCCCACATAACATCTGGCTGTGAAAAGCAGCTGGGTTTCTGTCAGCTGAAAATGCAGACACTCTCTTAAAGAGCCAATGCACAAAGTTTCATGTGCAGCCACTCACCTTGGGCTCCAGCAGAGGGAGGGCAGAATGGACTGGAGCTGTGCAATGAGAATCTAAGGTTGTGGGCTCTGGATATAGAGCTCAGAGGGCACCCCTCTGATTCCTGTGCCAAGTC